AAAGGGAAGAAATTGGAATATTGTACTGTATTTTCATGTGTATAATCTGTGGATTGCTTGTGTTCATAAGACAATTGAAAGAGGGTGGGGTTCTAGGTCAATTTTAAATTGCAATCACAAACTTGCACCTATGGAACAATGGCTATTTCCACGGGCACGAGACATATAGTGGAGACAAGTTATATGAAGATTTTATTTTGTTCTAGCAACTTTCTATGGAAATATGCCCCCCCCAGGTTATATGCCCAAAACTATAATATATTAAAAAAATAGCAATAGCTCATGGAGTAAGTAAGAGCTAAAGAGTTTGATGGACTGGTTATCAAAGTTTGGAAAATGAGAGGAAAAAATATAAGAAAATGAAAGATCAGTATCAATACTACTGAACTATATAAAGAATTGAAAAGATTCTTTCATGAAAAGCTAGAGATTCTTTCATGGAAACTATACAGAAAAAAAAAATGTATTATAAGGAATAACACTTTCTTTGACCTCATATGAAATAAAAGAAAGAAATTAAATGAATAGAGATGATGTTTATAAGATATTTTTAATAAAAGAAAAGAACTATAATTGTTGAAAAAATATAAAAATATAAAACAATGGGATCGGCAAGAATTCTAAAAATATATTTCTAAAAGAAAAGAATGAAGTGAATTTATAAATGAGGACATCAAGAAAGGAACAGTACACATTAGATTAAAAGAACACAAGAACTATGTAAGAACAGGAAAAGACAATACAACTCTCAGCTGAGAGAGAGAGAGAGATTGAATGGAAAAGATACTAAGATCTTACAGGAACCAAAAGTGTGTGCAGAAAAAGCATGAATATATAAAAAAAGTTCAAAGAATCACATGAACAACAATAGAGATTCCAAAAGCTTATATATCAACATCATCTCTAAATCCAATTTATAGAATCTCATTTTAATGGATCACTCAGGCCACTAAAAATCACCCATTGTTCTGTGAATCTGTTATACAGTGGAACCTCACTTAACGAGCATAATTCGTTCCAGAATCTTACTCTTAATGCGAAACAATTTTTCCCATAGAAATTAATGTAAAATATGATAATGCATTCAGATAATATGTCTGATGAACACCAAACAATACGCCAAATTCTTGGACTATGTAAAAAGCTATAATTAAATATTAGAAATTAATTAATTTGACTAGAGGTAGGCAGTTATGCTTCCACCTCATATTAAATTTAATAATTATAAATAATTAATTTTTAATTTAGACATTTCTGGAATTGGTCATTAAATTTAATACAAGATGGCAGTATAACGGTCTTCCTCTAGTCAAATTAATTAATTTCTAATATTTAATTATAGCCTTTACATAGCCTAAGAATTTGGCATATCGTTTGGCGTGTTTATTATATAATGGGCTATGGTTGTTAATGTTTATACATAATATGTGTGAACACAAGTTTGGAAAAATGTGTGATCACAAGCGACACTAAGATGCTAGTGGAACTAGTGGTAAACAGAGACTAATACAGCATGTGCACAATTTGGGACTTTCCCTCTCCTTGTTACTTGTTATGCGAGTCATTTTTTACAATTTGTTTTGCTTGTTATGCGAGATGCTCATTAAGCGAGGTTCCACTGTATTGAAAAACAATGGATTTCTCACAGACCCAGAAAATTATCTGTTATTTGAAAAAAATTTCTGTTTTTAACCCTCTACATATAAGAAACATGTTAAAAGATTGTATATTACGCTATGTATGTGTGTATGACAAAGCTGACGGAAACTGTATATACTATAAGCACAAAAAAAGGCAAATTACGTATGTTCATTAGCACTCCATTTTACTTCATCATTTGTTAAAAAACATGTCCATCTTTGTTTTGATGCCAATTTTCTCTCTATTGAATACAACAAATGCTTGATATTAGCAACGTCACGTACAGCATGTTTGTTTATGCTTAAACTCATCAGAAGATCTTCACAACTTGGAAAGACTCAATGACCTCAAATTTCGGCACTACACTTGTACCACTACAGTGGCAGAATGTTCACTGGATGGCTCCTTAATTGTATCAGCCTGCCGACTTTCTGTAAAATTTTTCAACTGTACATATCCCAGATGTAATAAGACCAAACTTTTCTGGAAACATCTAAATATTAACTAAATGTTGAAAAAAAAATACACAAAGTTTATGATAGATGGTACTAGAAAAAATTCTGTTATTTCAAGAAATCCATTGTTCTGCAATCTATTTAAACAAGATTCTACTGTATTTATTATTAATTAAACCAAATGAAGTGCTAAATTATCAGGCTATTATACAGCTAAGTTAATGATTTTGAAACTAATTAATTTGTTTGTAACTAACCATCTACCTCTGGAAAAATTAATTTGTTTCTAAACATTAACTTAGCCATTTAATTTCCCTATAATTTGGCACATCATTTGGTTATTCCAAGAACTTGTCCACCATTTATAAATAGGCCCTAAATAAGAAGTATAACTAATCTATAGGAACTTTTCTTGGACTATTAAAAAATTATCAAAGATGATGAGAATAGAAAGCATAAATGTGAAGGAATAGGAAGAGTAGAACAATTGAATCCATTAAATAACACTATAACAAAACCAGAAACTTCTTGAAAGGTTGAAGATTTAAAATCTACAAAATATGTTTTAAAACAGATGAAGTTTTTTTTTGATCGTTGACCTGAAATGATCATGCAGAATCTAAAAGTATTTGGGATTTAAACTGTTAAAGTTGTTCAGACTTCTAAAAGGCCTGATTTATGACATTAATGGATATTTTTAAAGTTAAAATTTTAATAATTATATAATTTTTTCATAATTTTAGTAAATATTTGGAATTATAGCCTGTAGAAAGTCTGCAAATAATCTGGCAATATGGTCCAATTTGTATAAATATTACATCAAGAAGAATGGCATGCATTATATTTGTATTTGTGGACTAACAGATTATACAATCATACAGAACATCTGGTATATCTTAATGCTCAGTTATACCGGGGGAGTTAGCAGTGACTTGCTGATGAATTTACTCACTGATGTTAGGGTGCGACTATGGAGACGCGAACGAGCAAATTTTCCAAGCGAGCGAGAATATGTGGTGAGAAGAGGCAAGACATGATAAATATCAAAACCTGTCAGATATATGCGAGAACCAAAAATTCGTTCTTGCTAGCATTATTTCTCACTTCTCGTTTGTGCATGGTTTTCCTTTGCGAAAACTAAATCACTCGCAACCTCTCACTCGCTCTAAATTCACATCTGCATAGTCGCACCCTTAAACTTGCTCAATGTAATTACTTCAACAAGTAAACTCTATTTATCCAGAAAGTAAAGTTGAAGGCCAAGCTACTTTTGTTGCTACTTGCTCGAGAGTTTATTCTCTGACTAAGAAACACACTGTGTAATCATGTACAGAAAGTAACATAGCAAACAGATGTCTACTGTACATCATTACTTCAACATGTACATAATTGGGATATTTTATATTCCATAATAGTGGATACTGTTCATAAATGACTAAAAAATTAATATCATTACAGTTCCACTTTCTTGACATTTTAAATTTCAACAAATCAGCACCTGACAGCATCAGTGTTGAAACTAAAAAATTTAAAGTTGTTGCTAGAGACTTTCTTTTTCTTTAGTTGCTACAGTTTGGCACCATTAAACAGGCTAAAAAGCACAATGCATAGCAGAATTATGCTATCGCTGGCAACAATGTAGCACTATGTTTAGTACCTTGCTACTACAGAGTAATAAGCAAGTGGAATTATGAGTCCAATGTAATTGGCACTTTCTGCATAGGCCTATATGTTTTTTTACAAGTTTGCATGTTGGCAAGTACAGTAGCTAGTAAACATGTCCAATTTAACAGAGCTCTTAATTATTAACAATTTGAAACATACAAGATGATAAAAAATTATTGGTCAAAGCCAAACCAGATAATTTAAATTAAAAATAAATATAAAAATACTTTATTTTTATTTGGTTTTCTTTATTATTAAATAAGATTTATACATAACAAACTAATCAAAATATAAAAAATACATTGCTAAATTAATAGACAATCTTAAAATACAGAACAGTTATTATAGCATGTTGTTTGACTATCTAAGGAATCTCTTCAAATGTAAATCCAACTTGGACTGTTTTTCTCAGATTAAAAACTTCTTAAAAGACTACTGTTTCTGAAATATAGTCTAAAATTGCTAATTTTCCAAGAAGTTTTTACTTTTTTCTGTATTTATATGCAAGTTTCCTTTCTAATCTTTCTTGTAAATTGGCAACTAGTTTATTCTCAGTTCTAAGTAAGTTCAAATCTTTACCTAAGGAAAGTTATTCATTCCACAAGAAAAACTATATATTGTAAACTTGGAAAGATAATTTACCTTGAAAATGTTCTACATGTTGAAGATTTGAACTTACTTGAAACTGAGAATATGAATGAGTTGCCTATTTACAAGAATGTTTTTACTCCAAGAAAAACAGTTTAAATTGGGTTTAAATAGTATCTTTCAGATATATCATTCATTAAAGAGAATTAAATTATAAAATTTCTTTCATATTTTATGACACTAAATAATTTTATTTCAGTTTATATAACTATCTTTTGTATCACTTTGTATAAGAGCCGCCACAAACTACACTTTAGCGAGAGCAAAATGCTAGCAAACATGTACTAGCACACCTGATGACATCAAAGGCCTCTCCCCTTTCTTTGCTCCTGCACGGTATGAGCACAGTGAATTCTGTCAACAGCGAGCATACGCTCGTATCACTGTGCTACGAAAGGGATAACTGTGCGGGTGCTAAGAAAGGGGCGGGGGCTTCGATGTCACTGGGTGTGCTAGCGCACGTTTGTTAGCATTTTGTTCATACAAAGCTGTAGTTTGCGGCAGCTCTAATGCTTACTATTGAACTATATAGAAATTAATGCACACATATATATATCCACAATCTGAAATAATTATTATAGATCAGCTTACCTCCAATTATATTATACCAGATGGATTTATCTGATTTAAACTGTATTATTATTAGTATTCAAGTTATCACCATTCTATTCAGAATAAATATTGGAATAACTTCTATGAAATAATTAGTCAATAGATGGAATTTGTAGCCAAGGTCCCACATGAATAAGTTACCTATATTTAAAATAATTTAATTCTTATTTTGTCAAATGTAAGATAAATTACAAATTTATTTATTTTTAAAAATTAATATATAACTTTACACTTTAAAATTACATTTTTAAGGTTTCTTGTATGAACTACTGTAACAGAGTGTCTCAAAAATACACAGCATAACCTCATAAATGAGTTCCTTATATGTAGACAATAAAAATACTTTATAGCAATAGAAATGCTTGGCTTCTATTGAGTTATCATCAGGATGTCTTATCTCCCGCAGGTGGTTTCCTTCATAATAAGGTACTGACAGAATCTGATGTACCACCAGATTCTGTCAGTACCTTAAGATGAAGGAAACCACTTGCATAGATAAGACATTCCTTATAATAACTCAGAAACCAAGACAAACCTTTGTAAGGTGATATGAACAGTTAGCTGTGTGTCCTTCAAAACTAAGAAACCAAGCATTTTCGGATCTGTGTTGATATAAACCAGTGTTTTTCAACCGCCGGTCCACGAAAGAATTTCACTGATCCACAGAAAAACATTTCACAGTATTGAAGCTGGGGTAATTGATTAAGGGTGTCATTTGAACAGTAATCTAGAGCTATTCTAGTTACTTTGTTACATACAGTTACTCTAGATAAGCGTAAATAAGCTTAATAAATACGCATAATGCATAGTCGCTTATAATTACTTGATCCACGTAAAATTATTCATAATCTTACTGGTCTGCGGTGAGAAAAAGGTTGAAAAACACTGATATAAATTAATTTTATTGTCTACATATGAGGAACTCGTTCCTGAGATTATTTGTAAATGTATTTGTGAGACAGCCTGTATAACCAATGTAAAAATTCACGAATTTTACTTTAAAACATATGAATTTTATGTAATAATCAAACTACACTAAATTAAATAAAGAGTTAAATGCTTTTTATTTTAAAATAATAATTAGTTATTAAATTCACTGGAATAAATAAAAAAGATAATAAATAAAATAAACTATATATTATACATTTGATAAAATTTTGTTTATCATATTTTTTGCCTTATAATGACACACCATTGTATTACACACCAGATTTTTCAAGTAGAATTTTGGGGGAAAATATTCTTCACGGTATAAGATACACTCAAAATACAAGACACCCTAATTTTTAAATAAATTTTAGGTACAAAAATAAGTACATCTAAGGCAAAAAATATGGTATATCAAATTGTGTTTTGATTTAATATACTCAAATCTTCACTTCTATTTATTCTGCCAAGTGGAGCAGAGTTTCCCAAACCAAAACACTTGCTACACGTGATTTTGTGACATTATTAGTGTCATGCTGCTATTTGACAATGAACTTGAAAAGTGAGCAAAGAGAGCAAGTGATAAATTTTGAGTTAAAGCTGAGAGATCTGCCAGAGATCCTGGAAATGCTTTGAGAGGGCTACGGCAATGAAGCCATTGGTAAGACCACAGTCTTTGTTTGAGACCCAAAATGGCAAAAGCACGTTAATCACTTTTTTCAACCATAAGGGTTTATGATGTACCAGGAATTTGTCCTCCTAGTCAGATAGTAAATTTAGACTTTTACTGTGATTTTTTGAGAAATTGCATTAGGGTCCTGATTGCAAAAGATCAGAACTGGCAAACTTAACTTGACTCCTTGTCACGACAGTGCTCCTGCACACAGTCTTCAAAATGCAAGCATTTTTCGTAAGAAACAATATTACAGTTCTCTCCCACCCTTCTTTCTTGCCAGATTTAGCTACTTTTGACTCTTTTTGTTCTCTAGAATGAAATTGAAGCTCAAAAGATAGTATTTCAGTAGTCAAGCAGTTCTAGTCCAAACCACAATAGAAACAATGACTTTCATGGAGCATTTGAGGCTTGAAAGAAGCAGTGAGATTTGCTGTATAAATGTAGGGATGAACTACTTTGAAGATGATGGAGGCCAAATTTAAATTAGTTAAGCATTAAAATATTTTTCAACTAAATCCAGTTTCTTTTTGAGCACATATGTTAAACTATTCTAACACTATTTTTAATTTTAAATAACTTTTTAAAACCATAGTCCGACATTGAATTAATCAAACACCCAATAACAATTATTAGGTCTTCGGATAATTTTTTGCTCTTAATTCATACTATTAGACAACTTTTATAAGATCATCATGTTAAAGATATTTTTAAGAACACTTAAATATTCATAGGTAAAGAGAGTAACTTTAGGCATTTGCAATAGAAAAACAGAATAAGAACATTTCCTTTTCATAACATTAATTATTATTCTGCTCTATTATACATTATTGAAAGTACTTGCAAAGTATATATGATTTGTTTTCACCAAGTTTGTGTTTTTTCCCTTGGTGTAATAACTATTAATTCTGAAAGACAGTTTGCTTAAGACACACATCAGTTATTTTTATATTTTCTTTCTTTCATTATAAAATAAAACTGATAAAAGTTGAATATTTATTTTATGTCAGTATTTTACCATAACTTTCCTTAGGTGATCTTATTTTAATGATTTGGTTACGGTAACACTATCAAATGTTCAGGCTTGCTTCTTATATTTATAATAAAGTAACCATGCTTGTATATTTTTTTCCTTTTGTTTTCGTGTAAATTATACATTGTTTTAAAAATGCAATAACAAAATGCAGTTAACATAATGGATTTAATGTATTTTTATTGTGCTTTTTAATTTGGTAGAAACATAAGTTTAACCATCACTGTATTATTCCTACTCAGTTTAAATTTCCATATTTTTGATATTCGTTCAAAAACTTAAATTAAGAAATTTATTAAAGTCTAACATTTGCCGATTAAATCGGGCTACATTACCATTATTACTGTATTAATAATTAATACTAATTTGGTACTAGAGTTAGGCGTTAGGTGCCATCTCTTATTAAATTTAATAATTATAATTAAATTAATGTTTATTAAATAATCTCTAGTGGTTTTAATATAATTATTAAACTTTGAGATGAATAAGAAATTTATTGATTTCATCTCTAAAAAATCTGGTTACTTTCTATTTCTTGCATATAGAAATAATTTAGTAATATTGAACCAATCATTTGACTACTGTCAATTTAGATATTCCATTACATTTATTTTTTTTTAATAAAAATAAAGTCTCCTTTTAATAATACTTATAAAAGATAGAATCAAAAATAAACAGGAATTACAAAGTCATTGACAACATCAACCATTTGATTATTACAACTGCTACAATTGAAAAATTAATATATTAACTTTGGCCGGTTCCATTTAACAAATTTATAATGATAAGAAAATACAATACAGCAGCGCTGTCCAACTTATCATAGCCCGCGGGCCATATTTTCTTCACCAAACATTTCGGGGGCCAAGAAGATGACATTTGCATAGTGCTACGGTTCAGTAAGCACTAATTGGTCAGCGAGTCCGATGTTGACGCTATAAAAAGATGACAGTTCGACACACCGGATATACGTCACTCTCGTCTAAGTTCGACTTGGGAATTTTTTTGTTTAATAATAAATGTGAATTCTTCTTCCTGGAAAAATAAGACATTCCCTGAAAATAAGACTAAGCGCATTTTTCAGAGCAAAAATTAATATAAGACACTGTCTTATTTTCGGGGAAACACGGTAGTAAAATAATTTTATTAATAATAATAATTTAGTAAAATAAATTTATTCATAGTAAAATGTGCTCGCGGGGCGTAAAAATTATTTGGCGGGCCGTATACGGCCCGCGGGCCGCCAGTTGGACAGCGCTGCAATACAGTAAAAACATTAACCTACATCAGGGTAACTGCTTCTGAAATTTACAACAATGAAAATGGAACAATGGATTAACACTATATTTTGCTATAAGCTGGTAACAACACTTTAAAAATGTTAAGACCTAGTTTATGGTGGACACCATGTCCAGGACTTAAGTGTAAGAATAATACAAAAAAAAATTCAATAAAGATATGGAAGATGACTCACATGCAGGCAGACCAGCAACAGCACTTAATACCAAGGCTATTGCTAAATTCAGGAGAAAATTAGACAAGACCATCAGATCTGACACACACACGAGGTATTTTACATAGGTCCATACATAAGATCCTCCGAAATAATACAAAGATGCATCACATCTGTTTCACGCATCAAATCTTCATAGACCAAGGGCCATATTCTGGTCACTGTCTCTGGTCTCTCATAAGCCAGTCGCTGATTGGCTAATCATTTGGATTAGCTTGCGACTGGCTTGTGAGAGACGAGAGACAGTGACCAGAATACAGCCCCAACAATATTTCTTCAAAAATGAAATTTCTGTACATCCACGGCAGCTTTCTAATCCAGCTCAAGTAGATTTTTATTTCTTCTACAGCTTTAAAGGTGCTTCTGGAATGTCATTTCACATCACAGTAACGAGTTGAAAGTTCTGAGCTAGAAGTTATCTGTCTAAAATGAGTTTTCAGGATTACCTCCAGTCATGGTATGGACATTTGTAATAATGAATGACAGGAAATGATTATTATTTTGAAAAAAATGCATTTTAATTTATTACATGTACTACTACAAAAATCAACTGTTACTTTTCTATTTATTTTTGACTAACTTTTATATTATTATATAAGATTTATATTTCAATTCATACAACCAGAGCCTGTTTATCATTAGATGAATCTAATGTTATAAGTTTGGTTTGCTTTTAATATACATTAATTACAAAAAATTATTTTGGAAGAATTGCTTAGAAAATGTTTAACATTGGAAAATTACTTAAAACATGATAATTTTAGAGATATTGGAACAGATTTATCAAGTGAATTACATAATATAATAGCAAGATGAATTCCAAAAAATACATCATTAGATGTCCTATCATACACATGCAAAAGTAATTTAGAAAATTCTGATTGTGTTTATTGCTCCAAGAATTTTTGTGAACGAAGTTTTATGAAATTAAATCTTATAGAAACGTCCACTTACTATATGATGGCTCAGAAACAACTCACTACTGGCCTAGCAAT